TTCCATTCGCCTGGCCATGCGAACGGGCTTCCCCCATCTCTTGCTGGCTTTTTGCACAGACAAGAGGCATGGGTGAGCGAAGATGACTTCCAGCCGGACACCCTGAGCGTTACACACGGCATAAGCCAGGCAATCTCAGCTTCAACGGACAGGAACCCGCTCACCCCCCCTATACCCCAACCAAAAACGTGGTGAGCACAAACGACTTCCCGCTTAAGAACCTGGGCAATACTGATTGTATTCCCAGCTTCTTCGTTCAGATTGGGAATAACCTGTTTTAGCTACTTTCGAGAAGTTCGCTAAAATGTATTAAATAAATTATTTTGTTTTCTTTATTTACAATATTTAGAACAGAAAATATTTGATCAAAAAATTATTCAATAGACAGATCAGGAGGTCTGTAGACTACATCCAATATTACATTTTTATCAAATACATTTTCAATTTCAACAAATAAACTTTCAAATGAATCATTATCAATATTCAAATCATCTCTTCGTTTATAAACTAATGTATCTCTCAAATAGATCCCAATACCTCCACCTCTACAGCCAAGATGAGTATGGAGAGTTGACGAATTTTGGGCGAAAATCGGTTGACCTTCATAGAGAAAGTGTTGTGAAAGGGTTTTTTGGAACATTTTTAAGCAAAAAGTGCAACCTTTTCCCATGAATGAAATTATTTCAAATTTATATCATCTTAAAGAGAATATATTGAATTTTAAAACACCGGCCGAGACGGTATTAAAAGTGGATTCAGTTAGGCTGTTGCTGTGATTTAGCGTAGGTAATGCATGAAATGGTAAGGAATTTTACGTGTTGTAGCTCACGGTGCGATGCGTGCGGAGCAGATGAACGAAAGTTTTTCATATTTCTTTTTTCTTCCCTGTTGATGTCAGCATCGCCATTATTCGTCCATAAATCGACCAGGTTGCACTCACCACGTTGTCTAACATCTACTAAAGCAACATTAGTTGATGCAACCACTAATCTACAGAAGGTCACTGAAGAAATGACTTCCAGAAACAACAAATGAACCATCAACTACTGAAGGAACAACATCTGAGAGAACCACGAATCAACAGACACTACCTGTTGCGACAAACGGTCAAGAAATATCTGCAGAAGCAACAGCTTGTCAACAGCCAACATCAGAGCTATTAACTACTGAAGGGACAAAAACTCAGATAATAACGGACAACCAATCAACACATGAGCCACCCACTAATAAACACACACAAACTGATGATACAACTGTGTATGATATCTGTAAGATAGAATCCCAGTGTTCCTTACAACGAGCATTAGACGAATTACCTACATGGGCAAAGACCAATGATAAGCAGATCAATCCACAGAAAACAAATAAAATGGTAATAAATTTTACTAAAGATGCGATTGTTCATCCACTTACCATTGATGGCAAACCCGTAGACTGTGTCCAAGAAAAAAAGTTGCTGGGATTATGGATCAATGACAAATTGAATTGGAATACTCATGTGGAAAAGGTTTATGCAAGGGCTGTAAGTCGTTTGTTTCTCTTGGTCCAATTACGTAGAGCCGGTCTTGTTCAAGACGATTTGTGCAGGTACTACAAAGCTCGCATAAGGTCTGTTTTGGACTATGCATGTCAAGTCTTTCACGGGGGCCTAACCAAAGAGCAATCTAATTTATTGGAATCAATACAAAAACGTGCCCTGAGAATAATCACCCCAACCTACCTTATACTGACGCTTTTAATGTACTGAACATTGATTCCCTAGCTGATCGTAGAAATAATATGTGCTTGCAATTATTTAACCAAATACAGAAACCTGAACAAAAACTAAATTACCTTCTTCCACCAAAACGAGAGACAAGATATAACCTTAGGAAAAGTAAACAAGTGCGTCTGCCCAGGTGTAAAACAAACCGATTGAAGAATAGTTTCATCCCTTGGTGTGCGTATAATTAACAATAAGCAGGTAATTAGTGCAATATACATTTTCAACCATTCAATATTCTTTTGAACTTGTACCCCGACACATGCAGCTGGTTTTTAATCATATATATATATATATATATATATTATCTTTGCTTCAGAGTATCAATTTGAAATAATTATTCAGTACATGCAGTTATTCAGTTTATACCCATACGTTGACTTTCTTTATAATTATATTATCTATTTCGATATTTGGATGTAGAGTTTACTTGATTGATCATTGCAGCTTTTTCACTTCTTTACTTTCTTTTCTTTTCCCCTCTCTTGCCCCCTTTTCTTGTCTATTTAAGTTTATGTTGTTTCCCTTTGTTCTTGTAAATATTTATTGGTAATATGAAATACCTGAATGATTTGTAATGTACTTCGTATTAATGATTTACATGTATTTATATTCATAATTTATCAATTTCATTATACTCAATTCAATAATGTTCATAGTCATGTTGAAAATGTATGTATCATCAATCCAAACATTTGGTTGCTATGAATGAATAAATAAATAAATAAATAAAATAAATAACTACCTAATAGTCAATGTAAATAAATGACCTATTGTTTTTGCAATAATATAAAACACTTAATGGCTTTTAACCCCCATTCATTGCTTCAGCCTAAACTTGGTGCTAGAGGATTTTGACAATACTTTTTGAGAAGCCTGGTGCTCAGTCATCCACAATTATGAATATGGTACCATTAAAGGTAATACAAAGTTTTGGGAAATTTCAAAAATTGGGTGGATAGTGATTCTTTACAATTTTGATATATTTAGATGCCCCTGTGATGTATTATAAGCACTCGAAAAGTAAGCCCCTAAAACACTTCTGCTTTAGAGAAAAATTGATTATAATAATTTACCGGTGCTCCCGGTAAATTTTGATAAATTTCAAATAGCGCCTACGGCCGTACAATGGTAGCTGCGACCATAACAATCTCTAGATATGTAGTTGTGATATATAATTTCCAAACGGGAATAGCTAATCGGTCGATTTTAGTCAAGAAACATTGTTTTATAGCTTAATTAATATCTTGACCTTGAGAGGGAGCTTTATAACATAAAGCGTTTATTATTTTCAATTTCATAACTTTTGACTCGATTTCAACCGCGACATCGATTATTGAATATTGTCTGATCGCATATGCTTCCAATATGTTCATTTGAACCGAATTTATGACCCCATGCCGAAACTTTGTATTACCTTTAAGCACTGTACTAGTTGCCCATTATCATGAAATGTGATTCAAGGTCACATAGGTTATAATTTGTTAATTAGAAGCTACCAAAGTTGGATACAAGTTTTATGATACGCAATATAGTCTTAACAATTCATCGATTATATGTTTTCCCCTGTATGCAATGGATATGAAATGCAAAACAAATTTAAGGATTTCTATTTGATGAAGTTGATATCAAAGGGAGGGCAGGGGCGGGGGTGAACGTGGTGTTTGTCCAAATACATTTAAATAATTCGTCGCTACACCGTAACGCAAATGTTTATTTACATAGCTCTTTTCTATCTTTGATTGGTACGATAATATACAGTGCGTCCCCAAAAAACTATACACTTTTCAAATGGCTCATGAATAAAAAAAATATAATATTCTTTGGAGAAAAGTTTTTTGATGTATGGAAAGCTCATAAACTCAACTTTCATATGACACCAACAAGTTCGAAAATAATTCATGCTTGGGTGAGCACTACTCTCTTTTGTAAAGGGTATGAAAATTAGGTTGCGCAGGAATTAGCCTTCCAATTTGTGAGAGGTAAAATCCTTTGGAGCTTACGGAATTGAGGATGATATGACCAATTTTATGATCAATTGTGATGAGTTTGGGTTTGCTGAGTGAAATTTGTGGTTAATAGGATTAACATTTTATGCATGAGTGAACATGAATTGCATTTGTTATTACCGTATAGCAATGTAACTGTCCATGGTAGACTCAGTGGTGTGTTCATGGAAGTCAGGACGGGGTGATGGTACATGGTGCAGGGGAGGTGAAATGTAAGGTAGGACTTTGTTGGGTAGATGAGATAAGGGGCAAGAGGACATGTATGCCTCTCTCTCTCTCTCTCTCTCTCTCAATCAATCAAGCATTCAATCACCATTCAGTATTTCAATCAATTTAATTATTCAACAAATCGATCATAATTAATCAATAACTCAGTCAATCACTCAATCTATCAACCAACCAACCAGTCATTTTAGCACTTGAGTTTCGCACAAGTTTAACACAAATTCACACATTTGTAAAATGAACATGTCAGTCTTTCTATTCAGTTTTCAATTTTACAACTGTTTCATCCATCTTGTAAGAGAAAATATCTGATAATGGAAACTAAAAATCAAAGTCTTCCAGTTCAATGACCCACATGTCCACCTCCTCTTTCGATGCACAATCTTGGTGAAGGTTTTTATTCAAAGTCACAGATGTAAAAAAAAAAAAAAAAAAAAAAAAAAAGTTTGTAACATGGAAATTACAACATGTACCATCACCCCATCCTGACTCCCATGGCCACACCACTGAATCTACCAGGGAAATTTACAATGCTACCAAAAAAATGCAATTCCTGTTCACTCATGCATAAAATTTTGAAGTTTGGTTAAATAAACCATGGAATTCACTCAGCAAATCATGAATGTATCATATCACCCTCAATTTTGTAAGCTCCAAAGGATTTACCTCTCACAATTTGGAAGGCTAATTCCTGCGCAACCTAATTTCCATACCCTTTACAAAAGTGAGCAGTGCTCACCCAAGCATGAATTATCTTCGGACCTTTTGTTGTCATATGAAAGTTGGGTTTAAGAGCTTTACATACATCTCAAACTTTTCCCCCAGAATAATATGTTTTTTTAAATTCGGCATCCATTTCAAAAGTGTATAGTTTTTTTTGGGACGCACTGTAGTACCAATTATAAAGGGAAAAATATTACTTTACAAATGTAATTATCAAAGTGAATAAAATACAACCAAGGATTAAAAGACACGCCCTGCTGGTAAAGTCGTTCCGTCTTTACCTAATATTCTTCAATGAAATCTGGCTTTGGGTAGTCAAATATTTCGAAATCTTTTTCGTAAATTTTCCACAATTTTTGTAAATTGTCTTTGGGTAAATCTTGAAAAGCTTTTTCCATTTTAGCGCTGCTGTTCGTTGGGTGACTATTGCTTTTAGATGGATATTCAACCAACGAGTCTACCTGCAAATCTGTAAACATATACTTTGCGTCTTCTGAAACAGTTTCTAAATGGCCTACGTAATCGTATTTAATAGTACATGGTCAAAGAACGGCCGCTCGGACTGTGTCAAAAACTCTACAAATTCTGTCCAAGTTATGTTTTCACCCGTTTTTAGCTCTGTCGCTGTTGCATGCGATCTGAATTGCTTCATAATAGTTTTGGCAAAACCCTGGAAGTATTGGGATTTTCGATACCCAACAACATCCCCGAATTTATTATTGAAGGCTGATAGCAAGCGCCCAAACGGATTGCGCACGTAAACGAATTTCTTGTATGTTTGTAACTTCTGCTGTTGCTCTGTGCCCGATAATTCGGCGAGGCGCTTCATGCCGTTGTATTCGTGGACTTCGTTGGGTAGCATCTCGCTGATTTTGTTCTTGCTCCCGTTCAAAATCATCATCACCCTCTTCCAGTTGCTGCATCCGACCTTCGGGATGAAACAATAGAGAAGCTTGTGCTTGTCACTGAAGTATATATGGCGATATGTGTTGTGGGTAATACCACCTTGATTCAGTTCTGGATGCTTGGCGCACTTCTGAAGTATCAACTCTCTCCTCAGGCGATTGACCTCGCTTTGGGCTGACATGAAATCTTCTACACTGCCCTTCATCTCATCCGTCCGAATTCCAGTGTCCTTAAAGAGAAGGTTGAGTCCTGGGAAGAGGTGAACAATAATTTGTGAGCGTTATCATTCTAATATGCAAGTTTGGAAGAACATCAGATAAGACATGTTCCTTGAAAAGCATGGCTCTTCAAATGCCTTCATATTCTAAATATGTCATGTAACATCGTAAAACTCCGGGGTAGGATTTTTACGCTACGTGTTCGTGTAGTCCCATGTACATCTTTCTGTTTACAGTGTTTGTAACTTTACCAAGACTTGGCCAAATTTCTTATCATTTTGATGATTCCAGAACCTTGCAATACACACAAATTCTTACATGCTAGATGATCAACCTGTTCTGGTCGATTCCACACCGTTTCTTTCACAATGCAATCGCATGACCAGAACTCAACTTCATCTTTAAACGAGGGAAGATATGAATATGTGTTCGTTTGACTTCATATCACAAAAAAATGATTTCATAGTTAATTACAGGCTTTACAAATAAACTTGATGTCCCCTGATATATTCAATGTGAGACAGAATCTTTAATAACCATGGACATTTATAGCATATTCCATTCTAAACATGATATTCATTATATTGATATATATATTATTTCCATGTGAAATACATTGCACAGTTCCCCATGAACGACGTCTGTACCCGAAGAGACCCAAGTGGTATTATTTTTCATCTTCGTTCTAAAATCATAATAAAACATAAAATTGAAATGATAAAGATGCGTTCTTACGTGTAATTTCCAGTGTAACAAATGCAATGACGCACAGGCAAAGGAACAAGGTTTTTACCTGGAATAAAGAAAGAGCTGCGTCAAAATCAATGATTTGTCTCGGATACATTCCGGGAGTATTTAGCACTGCAACCAAAACTTTTTTTTTTTAAAGTTCAATGTAATCCACAGATAATGTATTGCTTGCATGAGGATTTTTCTGTGCAAATAGGCAAAATAGGAAAACATCAGAACCTCCAAAACAATTTCAAAGTTTGCCGACAGATTGGATGTATAATTTTACACCTCCGTTTACTCAAGGAAACCTCATCAGCATCAATGTTGTTCGTCCTGAGGTACCTGCAATCATCATTACCCGAACAACTATCCCTGGGTAGAGAGTGGCAAATGTGAATTAACGTCTTACCAGAGGACGTTAGTATCTGGCTGGGATTCGAACCCTTAACCCTAGGATTGAGAGTTATTAGTGAATGAACTATACCATGACACCATTGTAACAAAACAAAACATAACAAATTGTTTGATTACTATGTCACATCCCATCTCTTAAGTAAAATGCCCTTCTCGAATTGAGATATACTAGTTTGATATTGATAATGAAGCTAATATCAGAAACGAGATACGTTAGGTCTGCAACCGAAACTTATACTTACTAATGAAGCCATGTTAGAAGGTTCGTTGGCTTGAATGCTTTGAATCTAGTGAGGTATTGAATGATGATGAGTGAATGATGAAACAAGTCACTTAGCCTCTTTTTATAGGATCTTTAAACAATAACATTTGTGATGAGGGCGGTTCAATTCATGCAAATTGAGACATACTTTTCCTTGAACATTCACTTTGTATTTTATCTGTCATTTCACAATTCAAACCACTTACTATTCATAAAGCAATGACAACTGAAGGATATCCACAAATAATAACATATCCAGCTATTGACATTCGTGATGGATAACAAAAAGATGTTCTACAACAAACACAATAGTCCCTTGATTGGCACGGTAATTGTTTCACCGATTTCGTCAACACTGTCATATTATAACATTGTCTGATCAGTTATATTGTACGTAATAGCTACCATCGAAGGTGAGGTGATATAGAGTACATGTAAGTTATTGTTGTACATAGCAACCAACGTTTTTGTAAGGAGAAAATATCAAACTAAATGAAACATATGATGATATTGATAATAAAATAAATGGAAATAAAAATAGTAATATGATGATTATAGTAAAAAATAATGATATCGATAAAATAATATTAACAATATTACTAAAATGTTAATAATAATATCAACAGTAATAACAATGATAATTAAAATATTTATTATGAAGATAATATATGGTGTAATTGGGGGGGGGGGGGGTGGGTGGACAGTCGGTCGTACTACGTTGATAAAATGCAATCGGGACAACAGTCCAGCAGGGGAATTAAGAGTGATTTTTTTGTGATTATTCCAATGACAGTTTAAAGGATACAAATAAGTTGTTTATTTAATGATATTAATTAAGAATAAAACTACTATCTCTTTTTGAAGCATTTATCATCATGAATTGGTTATTTTCGGGAGTAAAATAGTACATAACGTAATAACAAGAACATTTGGGGTTTGGGGGTTAAATGTTAAACCTGTAAGTCTGTACTCTTAGCTGTAACTAAGGAAATAACTGGGATTTAAAGAAAACGAAATAGAAATGATTATGAAAAAAAGGAAATAAAGATTGAAAAGTAAACTGTGAATGAATATCTCATTATCTTTGACTTTAATTCCAAGCGCAACGGTTCTGCTTTCCATACTCACATTTGTTCTGCCAACCAATATAGGTGTTTTTAACATCTACTGTGCCAAAACAAATGACAACTAACCCGTTTGGTGATTTTCCAAGTTTGTCTGTTATCAACATCAACATCGTCCGGCAAACAAAAGGTATTCATGAAGCACATCTAGGACTTTGGCAGTTATTAATCTAATATGCTCAAAGTGGAACTTATCCATGTGTAAAAGATCTGTGGATATTTGGGGTCATTTGTACCATGTGCTATCTGTAAACTCTCTTATTTGACGGTAATTGTCGAAAGGTGAACTCGGGCATTCGAGTTCACGAATGGGCAGTCAATTTCGTAGCATGTTCATTCAAATTAAGATGTTTTTATGTAGTAGGCCCTTTTCTAATTACTGAAAATTAAATAATTTAGATTCATTTCGCTACATTGTCGATATCAGATGCACTTTCAACATGGCAGGCTTAAAGGTAATACAAAATTTTGGGAAATTTTGAAAATTGGGTGGATAATGATTCTTTACAATTTTGATATATTTGGATGCCCCTGTGGATGTATTATAAGCACTAGCAAATTTAGCCCCTAAACTACTTCTACTTCGATAAAAATGGAATATAAAAATTTACCGGTGCTCCCGGTAAATTTTGATAAATTTCAAATATCGCCTACGGCCTAGCTGCGACCATGAAAATCTCAGAATGTGTAGTTGTGATATATAATTTCCGAACGGGAACAACTAATCGGTAGATTTTAGTCCAGAAACATTGTTTATAGCTTAATTTATATCTTGACCTTGAGAGGGAGCTATACAACATAAAGAGTTAATTATTTACAATTTCACAACTTTAGACTCGATTTCAACCGCGACAATGATCACTAAATATTGTAGGACCGCATATGCGTCCAATATGTTCATTTGAACCTAATTCATGACCCCATACTAAAACTTTGTATTACCTTTAAGGAAGACTTTCATATGATATGTTTCCCCGTTTTTCTTAATTTCTCATACTGTCATAGCTACGTTAGATTAATTGCCTCAAAATTATCCTCCCCCTAAATAAAAACAAACCAAATTAACCCTTTTGGGGGCAAGAATTCACGTTGTGCTCATGGTGGGCGTCATTCGAGGATGGAAATTTATCTCGATTATCTCGATTCTCATACTGTCATAGCTACGTTAGATTAATTGCCTCAAAATTATCCTCCCCCTAAATAAAAACAAACCAAATTAACCCTTTTGGGGGCAAGAATTCACGTTGTGCTCATGGTGGGCGTCATTCGAGGATGGAAATTTATCTCGATTATTCCACGGGGTGCACGGAAAAGTATCAGTCGTGTATATATATTGCTCCGGTTGTCTCATTTTCGCCTGCACAAACATAGCTAGTTCGCCGTCACTACCAAACTAGAATGTTCCACTATATTGCAGGGTGTATATGCCATTGGGTGTGATGTGTGAACCGGTTGTGCGGAAATTGTGTGTTGGGGAGGGGAAGTGAGAGTGTTCATGTGTGTGGTAATTGTATGTGTGTCAACAATTAAAGACTAATACATGACAGATGGCTAATCATAAATCTACAATGACGAGTAAACTGTGTACATCACAGTCCACAGATAAATGTGCCTTGAAGTTCGAACGTATAAAGCAGACGGCAATCGGCGGATCAGACGACACTTGATAGTGATTTTGTATGTGAGACTGCTTTGCTAAATATAAAATACAAGAACCTTTTCCATAACTTCAAACTATCATTGATATCTGATAATTAAAAAGTTAGTAATACTTGACTGAAAGTAGGGGAGTTTGATATGGTGCACAATTGCACCCCTCTGTTAATAATCGAATAGTCCATGGTGTGCATGAATATTCATGTTTTTGCTTACCTCTGCAAAATGCTTGACTACTCTAAATGGAAAAATTACGATGGGGGGGGGGGGGGGCTTGGCTGAAATGGACATAATGAACAGATCAGAACTGATCTATGATAATTCATGCATGTTATACTTCGTGTGCTTGACTTATAAACTTATAATCGAGTGGCAAATTGCCTCCAAAGTTCGACTTGTTGCACATGTGTTATATAGGCAATGGCGAACTGGCGACCTATTTTGACCAAATTACGGTGGGTAAACTTTCAAAAGTCTATGGGACATGAGGGTTCCAATGAAAGAGCTGGTGATAACGTACGTCAGGGTGGATGTGCTTTTCGTTTAAACAAAAAATGAATTCGTAACGATTTTTTTTTTTTTTTTTTTTTTGGGGGGGGGGGGGGTAAAAGTCCATAGGCTAACATGTTTATAGGCTGCTGGACTCTGACGATAGGGGGCGTTGTCAAATGAGACTAAACGGAGCTATATGACATGTAGCAAATTTTATGAGTTTCTTGTTACCATTTGTATGTCACTTGATAAAATCAGAGTGTGTTTTTTGTTATGAACTTATTAAAATAATTATGAAAAAAGACTTTATCCAAGAGAAATAAAATGAATAAATCAATCAGTACATACATACAGCATAACATTTCCAAGACCAAAATCGTTATTATTACTTTCATGTTTTAATACTAAATTTATTTCAATAATTATCGTTTTGCTTTCCACCCAGGAGTATAAAGAAATGACTTTAAATTAAAACAAATTGACTTCAAAATTAGGTTAAACATAAAGTCATATTTTCTGAGAATTTCCTCTTTAAAAAAAAAGGATGTTCTAATCATCATCGTTGTGCTTAGTTATGCCTCCTCAGGGATGCCAGTTAGAATTGATCAGAATGCCTGAAAAAACATACAATGAGCTATTTTGTACCCCCAACAAAATACTATGGCCTGAAAAAAAAATCACCAGGGCCTGAAATCAGGCTTTTGCCTGAAAACTGGAATCCCTGCCTTCTCTATTCTTTTACTTATAATTTATAATACAAACGTAACATTCGATTTTTGCATACATTGTCACATCCTCAGATAACATACAACATCTGTATAATATTGTTTTATTATGGCTTGCCTCTCTTCTTAGATCTCTCTCTCTCTCTCTCTCCCATCCACTCTTTCTCTATTTACCTCTCTCTGTAGTTTTGTCTTTCCCCACTCTCTATGTATGTCTGTCTCTCTGGCTCTCTTTGTCTCTCTCTCTCTGTATCTGGTTGAAAGACAGACGATCCGCGTAACACTGACCTCATCATAAATGCAACGCTGGACCAACACTACACCTTACCCTAACCTTAACCCTAACCCTAAACCCAATAGCAACCCTAGCCATAAGTTATCCTATCTTCGAAGAAAAAAGTCAGTGCAGTTTTGTTGTACTCATGTTTTTATTGGACATCAAAAACAGAAACATGCAGCACAAAGATAACAAATAATGATTTACAATTGTCACCAGAGCGTCGGAGCGCATCCTCATCATTTTCTCTCTCTCTCTTTCATGATACCCTCTCTTCTCTCTCTCTCTCTCTCTCTCTCTATCACTCTCCCTATGTCTTCCCTTCTTTATCTAGCTCTCCTCTCTCTCCTGTTCTCTCTCTTTCTATCTCGCTCTCACCCTCCCCCTCTATCTCTATGTCCA